GGTGATATTAAACTGGAATGTTTTGTATGCATTCATGAATTGTGGAGACCAAAATCACTTTTTAACATCATTTTGACCATTTCACTTTCAATTCTTATATAATTAATATCAGGTATATGTATAAACACCCTCATGATAATTAATTGTTGATTGTTAATTCCTAATTGTTAGTTTGAATGAATCTATAAACCCAGCATCAGATTTGAAACATCAGTAATGAAAATTGAATAGGCGTCCCCGCGTGAATGTTTTCGAATATATTTCGTTCGGGAACGAATTGCAAATATTCTAAGAATGATAGTCAACATTTATTTGAGTTGTCCAAAGGCGAGACGACATTTCAAGTGTTCGTTGACGCTTTTTATTCCAATATTCATTTCATGGACATATACATTCAATGAAATAATATTGATTGACTACACAATGAGCATTATGTGCCTTTGGTGTTACGCCACTGTTAGGGTTTCAAATAAAAATGTCTGTACTCGTTCAATGAAAGGGTACAGAAAAATTACATTCCATCTCTTATAAAACATGTGACACTCTAGTATAGACAACCCACAGAGGAAATTTCTAATATTGTAATTTTCTTCTCCGTGAAATATTTTCTAAGGACATCCTGTACAGAATGATCGTTTATTTTCCTTGTGTAAAACGACAAGAAACATAATGGAACAGTGACATAAAAGGTGTGAACTTGATCGATGAAAGGTCTGTGTGAATCTGGATCGTCTGTCAGTTTTCCATTTTGTTTGTTTTTTTCCATTATTGTATCGATCAAAACGCCATCAGAATACGTTTCGTGACCCAAATATTGTGGAGCCCAGGATCTAATGGACGGAAAAAGAATGAAGATTATTACGCCCCTATGCCTATTCACTTTTTGTGTTGGACCCAAATGATGTGACAAAAAACTTAATTCGACTAACTCTGGCGTGCACTAAGCTGGAAAGTCTTATTACACAGATTCAGAAAAAAAATTGCCGGATATAGGCAGGGGCGGATCCAGGCGTTCTTTGAAGAGGAAGGTTATATAATGTCACTATTCATAAATTACTTCTCTGCCACGGGAAATAAGTAGTTTTTTCCAGGATATACCTGGTGTAACAGGATCATGGTACACCTCCTTTTTCTCCTTTGGTTTTAGAGGTAAGTGATTGGAATTTGGAATGACCCATCAACTTGATAAACGTCATGTTTTGACATGAACATGTTTCATTTTTCACTTCCGGTTTCACAGGAAGTGGTAATAAATTTACATTTTCAAATGGAACTCCCTGTATATCATTGCAAAAATTCAAAATTATTACGAAGAAGTTATATCGCGAATGGATTTATCAACATTCAAAAGTCATTTCAGGATAAGTCTAGAAGTATTTGGAAGTGTTCTGGGTAGGATTGCGAACAATTCCATTATATTTCTTGAGGCAAGTTCACTTTCAGGCAATTTTCAAGTCAGATTTTGAGGTTAGAGTATCTAAAATCTCATATAACCTCCAGAAATTTAGGAAGAACACCAATTCCTACCTAATTTCCCTTGGTTCTCACGATGTTCCCTGAACATTACACGATATCCCTTTTCGTGGGAACCAGAACATAAAAAAAATACCAAATACCGCGATTTCAACCACTTCCTCATTCCCTCCACAATCGTCTTCCTGTCATTCCGTAGGAGAAGACGGAATGAAAAGTTGGAAACAGTTTCAGAATTTCGTTCAATAAAACGACATGAATTGTTGTTGCAGATTTGAAATTTTTGTCGGACTTCCACCTACAAATCTTGTTCAGAATCATTTGACTTTCTGTTCAAGATAGTGTCAGCAGAGGATGGAAATTTGATCAAATTGGCAACTAAACCACAAAAAAGTATGTCGAGGATCAAATTTGTTTCTGACGAATATTATTCATCTCTCCTAGAGACTAAAGCAGAAACTCCAATCAAGGAATTAGTCCAAGTTCTACACGAGAATACTGTAAAATATATCATCTTTTCCCAATATGAATATTTGTTTTCGAAATTTTTGAGCTAACAATTTTGTCTCAACTCAAACAAGATCTACTAAATGAAACTAATGTATAGAGCTTGTGGAGAGTATCATACATAAAGGCTTGCATTGAAGCAAGAAAACACATTTTTGTATTGTTACTTCATGTTCCTAGTTACGTACTTGCCTATATTATCATTTGATTTACCTTTTTTATTCTAACATATACCTATTCATTCTCCTTATTGTTATTCATTATGTGAACACTAAAGAATTATGTTTTTAATTTTATTCCACAATATCCTGTTTGTAATATTATATTTTTTCATTTTGCTCATCAAACTTCTATAAAAAAAACTGGTGTGCGTAGAACTTCTATGGTATAGGTACACTGCTTATATGATTATGCCGGTCTTATGGTACGCGGCACCAGGGACGCGAGTTTGCCGTTTCACTCCCATCCCGGAAAACGTCCAACGTGCCTATAGAATGTATTATCACTTCAAAAATGTGTCATGGGCACCTGAAAGATTAGGAATATTTTTGAGTCTGAAGGGCAGCGCGTCCATCATAGCACCAGGCGGCAAATCACCTTAAACTGATCCTGTTACACACTGTTGATGGCTTTTGTTGTGCTACTTCCGAAAAATAAGCCAACACCGTCTCTGAGAAAGAACGGCAACTCCTTTCATCTTCAATTCCACTTCGCGGGTGTACATTACAAAACGACCACTTTAGTTCGCAATTTTTTTAAAATAAAATCACAGAATTAGTCTGACAGATATTTGATTACTTCGAAAGAATGATAAAGATGCCTGCAAAACGATGCCTGAAACGCAGGTGTAATTCCTGTTAAAAAACTTCAAATTTCACGTCGATAAATTGCTGATCTTAATATAATGTAACATCTTCACACAATTGATTCGTCCTTTTTCCAGTCACAGAAAACAAAATGTATTATACACGCGGGAAAATTATCAGATTTTAGCTCACAGTTTTTTGTCTCCGTCTGGTACACGTCGGGAGGCAACACAATTTCGAGCTATAATCTACTTTAATCCCTTGTATAAGAAATATATGTTTTAGAAAGACTGAGTCTATTGATTCAGTTTTCTCTGTTCACTCAAGTATATCAAATTTTCTGTTTGAAAAAACACGTTCAAACCATTCGATATTTTTCATAAATATTCAGGCTTTTTGACTTTGACACAAAACACCCAGACCTTTAGAGCGCCGCTATTAAATATCCGATTTTGAAAAACAAAGAAGCGAATGAAATTACTCAACAAATACTATAATTATCATCATTTCTTTCAAATTTCGACTGTAATAACGTCAGCGACTGAATTTTTTTTTGTTAAATGACACCATATTATGATGCGACATTATGTTTTTAATTTTTTTTTGTTCGAGATTTTTTCTCCGAATACAATGAAAAGTTGACTTTTTTTTATGTTCTGGACAGAATTAGTTAAAATGAGAAATACATGCTCAAATGACAATAAATAAATTTTTTTATAAAATTCTGGGATGAATCATTGAATGTGGCAGTAAATGGCAATGGAATAATCAACGTCAATGTTTCATTTGTCAGATATTTCGAAAACGTCGTATGAAATTTTAAAGTATATATTGGTCTCCATGCTCCCCTGGATCCGCCCCTGGATATAGGATTTAGAATACATTCGAACCAGTCGACCAGCTCGTTATTTAACACGATAGATAATCAAGGATTCAACTGGACTACTCTACATCCCTAAGTTGTGGCTGAAGGTTCCGCTTTCGCAGGCTCACTGGCTCACTGTTCAGTTCTCAGTCAGTACGAAAATGTTTGGGATTAGTTGATACTGTGTCATTTTCTGAGTTATCAGTTGAGATTACGATGTTTCATTGCATGCGAAAAATTATTTGCTACAATAAATGTAACAAATGCGCCATTTCAAAATCGATTCTTTTCTTTTCTTTCCCTGTTAACGTGAACTATTAAGAATCAGCAAGGAATTAGGTATTTTATTCTCAACCGTTATAGGCTTACTAATGCCACGATCCGACACCTAACACGTGAACAGTGTTGCCGGTTGCTGAGAATCAAACGTCGCCAGTATAGTCACTTATTTTCGTGATTTAGCTACGTTTTCGATAATCCAGTTTTGGAATCACCATGGTTTACATGCAGTGCGCCCATTGATTCAAGTACTATCGTGAAGTATAGTGGAAAAATTAATTTTTAGCCAAACTATATATTTTTGAGGAATCTCCAGAATCAGGCCGCGTTTTATCTTCTAGTTGTAATATTTCAAAAAGACCATTATATATAGGGTGTTCAATTTGAGTAAATTGCCGCTGACGTCGTAACTCAAACGTGGATCACCCTGTATAGGTAAATGCAGCAACTCTGTATAAATGGGAGAACAATGAGAAATGGCTGCGAATGGAGCCACAGAAACTCTGTTCTAAGGGTGAAAAATCGTGTCACAAACAGAAGGATATTGCGAACCATAATTTTCAGGGAAAGCAATAGAAGTCCTACGGGCAGAATCAATCACTTTCTACCTCTATCAGATCTATAGCAATTTTCCCGAGTCCGTGCGCCTTACAAAAAAAGAGAATAAGGAATTTTGATAGAGGGAAGAGTTTCTTTCAATAATGACATACTTATCGTTCTACCTATCCACTTTTATTGCACTCTTCCAAACTTCATTCAGTCTCGCCACGAAAGGAAAAACCTGGTCTATAACTGGTGGTTCATCAAAACTGTGACGTGTCAACGTTTTTTTCAAATAGGTCACAAAGCACAACTAGAAAAAAAGATATGTTTCCACTCTATTTCAACTTCCACAGCCATTTCTTCCATATGAACTCTCTGTACGAGGAAGAGTCAACATCGCATCAACCAAGAGACTGGTAAGTGTTCGTGAAGATTCGGTGGCTCGCCACTGGTTATTGTAGTTAGAGAAACGAGAAAATTTGATAAAAATAGTAGTTTATTTCAATATTAATAATACTTATCGTTGCAAATCCTTCTATTAGAAATTCATCCACCCCCTTCTGTCGCACTCCTCCAAAATCCAACAAACTCTATCCAAAGTATCGTCACTAAAATGAACCTCCTCCATGGCTGGCGGTGGTCCATCAAAAGCGCCATCAGGTGGAACCATCGGATTTTTCACACGAACCACAAAGCACAACATGAAACAAGCATGCGCCAATTCTCTTTCAACTCCCACAGCGATTTCCTCCATGAAGTTTTTGTAGGAGAAAGGTTCCACATCGCAACCAAGGGACTTCAAAGTGTCTATAAACACTCGGTGGTAGTGCTCCAAAAAACAATCTAGGTTCGCTTTGAGTACCTCAGTCTCCACACTAGTCATCAGGAAGAATAGGAGGTCGACAACTGGCGAATCGTAGCTGTACATTTGGAAGTCCACGATTTTGCTGTCCACAGGTTCACCAGCCTCGAATTTGACCATCAAATTGTTCACCCACATGTCTTTGTGCGAAATGGTAGCGAAGGGTTCTCTAAAATCTTCAGTGACTACACCCCCGAAATGTTTTAAAGACTTGCTAAGCTTGGGTAGCAAACGAATGCAGGACTCTTTTGCTTCCAGTGCTTTTAGCAACATGGGTAATATGTGGTCTACAGGCGGTTTCGGAGATCGAGGGTTGCTGCAGGCGAAGAAAGGCTTCACCTTTCGGTTGAAGGTTTCGATGTCTTGAAGCTTTAGGGCCAGAGGCACAGCGTGGAATTTGGCGATGACCGAGAGTAGGTGAAGGGTTGTTCTAAGGTCGAAACCTGTATGGCGATCCACGTTGGCGTAACCTGAGAAGGGAAAAGGTGGTGAAACATATCCATTCACTGTATTTCTTCTTGCCTACCTTGAACTTTCAAGTTTTCCAAAATGAGCGCAGCATCCTCATTCACGACTTCACCTTCCAAGCTCGTCCTAGCTCCGTAAAACTTAGCGAAGTTGTCGATAACTTTAGTAACGCCGTGTTGCCTTTGGAACTCCTGCAAAGCTGGTACAATCGTATCGTAAAATGCCGTCTCAACCTTGAAGCTCACTTGTACGTTGAACAGTACCCTGAAAAACTCGGATTCCGGGATTAGTTTGGCAACGACGCTCAGTTCTTCGGTGTGGCCAGTTTCGTCTTTCAAGGTCAAATCCACCTTGAGCATTTCGCTTCCATAGTTTTCTCCATAACTTGTGAGTCTGGAGATATTGGTAGCCACTATCGATTTCCCCTTGTCCAAGTGCTGGAGCAACAGTTGTTCCAAATTTTTTATTTCCGGTACTGACATTTTTTGGTTGACCCTTGGAGAACGAGATTTGTTTTGTAATGGTGCAACTCTACCTGTGTGATTGACAAAGATAAAAGTGATGATAATAATGATGAAGTTTTTGCATTTAATATTATCTTGTTGTACATGAATACGTAAGCTAAGTAAATGAATGAATCAAGCCATAACAAATATACAGGGTGGAGCATTAGTGCGTGGAAGCTCGAATGCTCGAGTTCGATGATAGTTAGAAACTTGATTAAAAAACGAATATGAATAAGAAAACATAGTCCATAACAACAAATTGTTGCCGCATATACAGGGCACTCTGAAAAGACCTAGTATGTCAAGATTTTTTTTAATGCAATGTCCTGTATATGACAACATATTTTGAAGCATTCCTGTGACCTTGATCCATCCCCTTTGATATTGTTGACTATACCTGTAACATATCAACATCATGAATTTTGTTTTGTCGAAATAATGTCATCTGCAGATGCATCGGAAAAAATCACTGTTGTAACAATTATGGAATTTAAGAGAAAATAATCATAACATCATTCAATGGAAAGATTGCGTGATATTTCTGAAGAATTCTCATACCCTCAAATTATACAGGGTGGCTGATGATGTTTTTCAATTGGAAACTTCTCGAAGTGATTTTCCTCGAGTTTTTCAAATAGAAACATCCCATATATTTTGACCATTATACATATAAAATCAAAACGACTACATATTTTATCTCAACATTCATATTCGTAATCATTTTTGAATTATTGAAATTTGAAAATTCTTGCACAGTAAAAATAAAAATCTTGAAATGAAGAAAAAAACTTTTACCAAAGAAACCCCACTGTCCTACATTCATAAAGAAATATTTCATCGAACTGGGAAATAATTTATCTCAATTCGAAACTTAACTTCGAGGGGTGTCTCACTTCAACAAAATGTGTACACCATATTGGATATTGTGAGATTCGAGGCAATATTGATTATATTCGTAGCAATCCCTTGAGATTTGCAAGATTTCCAAGATTTCTCCAGATTCCTAGGGATTTTCTCATAGGATTTGTTGGATTTATCAAAGATTGAGAGATTCCTGAATATTCATCAAGATTCCTGGGATTTCTCAAAAATCTTCGAGATTTTCAAGATTTCTCAGATTCCTAAGGATTCCTCAAGGATTTACGAGATTTATCAAGGATTGAGAGATTTCTGGTGCTAGAATTCTCAAGATCTGAAAGAATTTTTCTGGTCATAATGGTTGACAATCATTATGTTCTTTCAAGAATAAAATACACTGTTCTGAAATACAAGAGAGAAATGCTAATAACCTTCAGAAAATATACCTCTCTGACAAAATGAAAGCGAATCCTCCTTTAATTTCAATGTCGCTGCCACTGACTCCAACTGGTCGAGGCTAGATTTAAAAAGATATTGAAATAGGCAATCCCAATCTCCACGTAGTGTGGAAAAACTTTATAGGTCCATCGAAATAAAAGACCTACACAATTACTTCATTGTGCATGTTATTATTTCACCATAAATGATATCTCTCATGGAATGTAAAATTTAAAGCAATGACAGGTCTGTCTAATAGAACGGCAAAGTTTTGTGACTCTTTGCGAAGAGAAATATGCCCAAGAACTTATACAGGGTGTTTTCTAACTACGGTTCCTTACTACAGGGGGTGATTTATTAGGTCATTTTTAGAAGAAAAGTTTCTATGAACATATGTTCGGAGTTTCTTCGTTTCTGAGATACAGGGCGTTGAAATTAAAGAAAAAAAAACGGTAATTATAAAATATCATGAATATCCTGGAAACGATTTGGTTTAAATTTGGTACTTCTATTTGTCAAATTCTCGAAAATTCAGCACATCAAGTGTCAATTATGTTTTTAGCGGAAATAATGAAAAACTCATTTCTCCAATGCAGGTGTTCATGATATGCAATACAGTGGCTTTAATTTTTTTTCTCGGGAACGAAGCTGGATATGAAGAAAATACAAGAGACCAAAAAGTTGTATTTTGAGTTGCTCAATCTAGAAAAAATAATGATTTACCAAAAAAGTCAGTGGCGTACTTTTTTTTCACGATATTGTTGGCTGTGGTGCCCACTGAGACTCCACTAGCCCCAATAATTTCTATCTAAATAGGGCTGAATAAGCGCCTTATTAGTTCAAATAGAAGTACAAAATTTCAACCGAATCGCTTCCAGGATCTTCATGATATTTTGTAATTACCATTTTTTTTCTTCAATTTCATCCTCGATTTCATCGCCCTGTATCTCAGAAAAAAGCAACTCCGGACATATATTCATAGGAACTTTTCTTCCTGAAATGACCTAACGAATCACCACCTGCAGTCAGGAACCGTAGGTTGGAAACACCCTGTATACTCTTCAAAAGTTCAAAAAAAATCTAATATCTACATCCCTAGGTACGCACGATGTTTTCCGAACATTATAGGGATTCCCTTTCGAGCGCCCCAAGAGATAAACAAAAATTTACTCGAGGTATCACTCTTACTCACTGTTATCTGTCACAGCCGTAGACAAGGTATAGTATATAAGTCGCACGGAATGCTAATTAATAACACGTATGATTTCGCCTGCGTGCGCCTGCTCATGCTGCAAACTTCATTCTCGTGGGAAATGACTCACTCCGTGCTCGTTTAACAATATACTTTTTCGTTATCTTGTCTACACAACCATGTTGCAATACTTTTGCGCCGTTGCCAAATTGATTAGAATTATTTCGAAAAATCGGATGTTGATTCTTATGTGCCTGCCGATGTTCGATGATAATTCCGACCTTCCGACTATCGCTGCAATTAAATCATAATAATTGAGACTTGAGAGTTATCTTATAGAGGGTCATTTATAATAAACTGCCAATGTTGACTGTTTCTAATGGTCATCACTTTGTTACTCCAAATGGAACACCTTGTATAGTCCAGTAGATAAGCATTCCCACAGTAATTCACAATTATTGGCATTCGAATAATTTGTTCGAGAATCTGTTAAAGGTATTACCGAAGTGTCTTTGCGGCGAATAGGTAAGTATAGTTACTGCATCAGATATGACGTCATGTCATTTTATGAGAACAAGTTGTTTTTGTTTTGTTTATTATGGAAATGAGATCAGCGATCAGCAGCGGGATCGAGAACGGACCCTTACCCCCACCCTTTCTTATATTTCGCTACGAGGAATTTCGACCTGGAGGATGTCGGATTGAGAGATTTGCGCTTGGAATTGAGAGACTTTTGCTTGGGATTGAGAGATTGTCACGATAATTACGGGATTGGTAGTATTCGAAGACAGATTGAGAGATTTATGAAATCTCAAGAATCGAGCTGCGATTTCCAAAGATTGACACATTATTTCCGTGGATTGTCAGATTTGAAGAGACATTTGGGGATTCGAAGATATATTTGTAGATTTCCAAGATTGAAGCTAGGATTGGTGAGATTTCCAAGATTCGAAGCGGATTGGAAAGCAAGTGTACACCAGATTGTCAGAGTGAGACACCCCTCGCTTAACTTTTTCCTTGAAACGATATACAATATTACCTTCGTTTGACAGCTTCAAATTCTCCAAACAAAATTCACGAATGTATTGAAGAGAACTGCTAAAAGATATACAGTGAAGAAACCAGCTATGATTATTCGAAACTAATTCAATATCTGCTTAAGAAAATTATTAACTCCAAGAAAATATTCCCACATGTTTAAAAAGATCAAAACAAGTATTCTGAACAAGGATATAATGAATCTTCGTCGAATTCAGTGTATCGCTTATTTGGAGAGATCTGAATACTCATTTCAAGGATAGCGATGCTCTTGTTTTGAAATTTGCTTCTATTTCTGTATAAAAATTTGCAATCTACTCCAATTGAGAGATTTCACTGCCTCTATTAAAAACTGCGAAAACTTCTGATAAAATTAATCAGCAGCTTTACTAGATGTCGAATTAAGATCATCTTATTATCTTGTTTGAAAACTTATTCTCTCATTCACACAAATCAATGAGACACACCATTTGTGCATTCAAGAAATTCAGTTGGTATCTTCTGATGAAACAAATCAGTTTTTGGTTATTGTAGATTTGAAATAACTACTCGAGAATATGTGCTCTTGTAACTCAACAAGAGAATGTTCCCTTCTGATAATACCATGGATAATACATACACATAAAAGGGAATGAAATTCTTGAATGAATGATACAGGAATTTCCCATTCAACTATCTATGGTTGGGCATTTTCATCAATCTACCCTCTTATTAGTTAACCAGTTTTTTTATCGACATAATTGAACAGAATCAGAGCAAACAGAAATAGTTCATATGCTATAGTTATTCACAAAGTTAAATAGGACAAAATTTCCATTTCTCAATAAATATCCCATAAATTCATAGCACATTGAAAACAAAACCAGGATAATAATTCACAATAAATTGATGATATGGAGATCATAATTTCATTCAGGAGTATAATACCAGCAGTTCTGAGACCAGTTTCTCTTTTCGACAGCGCATAAAAAGGTGTGTCAATCCAAATGGGCAACATTTATGGAGGGTCAAAAAATGTTTATATATTATACCTATACGTAGAGCGTAGAGAACCCAACGTATATCTTACCCAACGTAGACCCAACCTTACCTAACCCAACGAAGAGCTAACCCAACGTAGAGCTGACCTAACCTAACATAACGTGGAGCTGACCCGACGTAGATATATATACATCAACTCGTCTTGATTTCCCCTATTAACCATTTGGCTATGTGAGTCTTCTAATGAAACACCCTGTATAAGAGACATCCTATTTAAAAAAAATTATCTCGATCCTCTAGATTTTCTTCGGTGCGCCCTGTAAATGCAGCAATAATTTCTAGTTATGGATGTTGTTGTCTCATTCACATTCGTTCTTGAATCAAGTTTCTAGCTATCATAGAACTCGAGCAATTGAGCTGCGACGCACTAACGCCCCACCCTGTACATTTATGTACTTCAAGTAACCTTGGGTGTTGGATAAAAGTGGTAATATTAATTCAAAATATTTGATCAGATGTGTATATTTTGTTATACAACAAAATAAATAGTTCCGCAAGCAAAACTGCTTGGAATCATTATGAATTTTGTACATTACATATTTTATCATAGGCGTCCCTCAAAAATCCATATAGCATGAGAAATAGGGGAGGGTGAAGAACAGGGCACCACTTAGGGCCACTTTATAAAAAACTTTAAGACTTAAGATTTATCACCTAACATTTAAGACTTATCACTTATGACAGATGGAACATGGAAATATCATTGGTTATGTTATAAAACCATTTGAAACTTATGATTTAACATTTAAGATTTAAGAGATGACCAACTTCCAACTTAAGAAGTGCTGATAAATGAACATAAGGAATAAGGAGTGCGCATCCAAAAGTGACATCTCAATTTCCCGCCATTCAAAAATAATTCAAAATATCTTGTGTTGTTATTTCTAAATATTTGTTTTTGGATGGTGGATTGATCAACACAACAAAAAAGAGAGATGTGGATATGCAGAAGATGAAAAGCTCTGAAGATCCAAAATGATCCTGACCAAGTATAAAAAAAATACGGGTCCTGGCGATTTCTGGTAGATAATTCGGTTACCTAGTTATAGGGGGATTGAGGGGGTCAAGTTTTCGTTGAAAGTAGGGCTTTGCGAGACCAAGAGTCCAATCTTGGTCTTGTCTTGATCTTGGTCTCGTGAAGCCCTAGTTGAAAGACCCTGCATGGACACATAATTACTTACCACCAAAAACACAAACTGATGCACTGGTAGCGTATATCACGTTCGAATATCAACTAACGATTGAATAGTTGGTTGAAGAAGAAGAAACGTAAATTGAACTGAAGTAAATGTCTTTCTCCACCAAAAACGTTAACTTGAGGTTTTACGGCTTTTATCAGTTGCATTGGTTTTGTTATTCGTGTTTTATCTTAAGTGAAATAATCATAACAATGATATAGATTAAATAATTAATAATATCAATAGAGATATCCTCTGTGCCCCGTTGGTCTTGTTTGACCACCTCTCCCCTACAGAAGATAAATATTGAGTGTGCTATTATCAGAAAGCTTTCTGAATGCTGAGAAAAACAGCGAATTCCAACAAAAATGGAACTACATTTTCGTGCTCCTGGTATATCGGGTGACACATCAGGGTATCGTGCCACCCCTGTAACTTCTGCATTCGTCAACGGATTTTTATGAAATTTGTTAGTTATATAAACAACAATTTCTGATTTGATCACAGCACAATCCAAAATGGCGGAGTTTCGGTTCTTCTGGAAATGCCAGCAACTTTGTTATTTCAAATGGATCACCCTATATATTTTTACATATTCAAGTTCAACAGGTCAAAACAAGTGAAACATTATGATTGCAAATGTAATTTTTTCGAAAAAATTCAAATTAAAATTGTTTTATTACTTCCACTCGTGGACAAATGAGATGTGGTCAAGGCAGTGAGTACATAACAGAGAAACATAATTTTTTCTCAACTACCTTACAAGATTCAGAAATGTTGTTTTCCACAGCTTACTTAGTGGAAAAATTATTCGGACTGCAAGGAAATTCATGAAGTAGCTGTTGATTTTTTGATGTATGCAATTTGTTGGTGCACCAAAATACAAAAATGATATATATTTTTTTTCTACTGGAGAGACATATTATGTAGGTGGCTCATAGCTGTTCCATTTGAAGATAATGACTTTTTTATCAAAATTTGATGTTATTTCTTCCCGAATTTATCTTCATTCTTCACTAATATTTCATAATAAACATTCTTGATTTTCCTTTGACACATGTCATGTCTTGGATGTCATGTCATGCATGTCAACTTCAAATTTGCCTTCATTAGTTCAGTACGTTCAATGACAATTAAATCAAGGTCAGTCACTCATCAAGTTCACTTCAACACGACATGTCGCTGCGACAATGGCTGCTTAACAAAATGTAATCCATATTTTACCCCCTTCTGGGAATCACATTTTAATTTGTTTGTAATGTATTTTAACTCAATGTCGTTAATTTTGAATTGGACCAGAGATATTTTTATGGACGAATTTTCCTGTTAACCTGACGAGTAAGTAACCGCACTTTTATCATTTTCCAAATTCACATTTAACAATTTCAAATTTCGATTTTATGTCTTTTTCAATTGAAAAGTTCATCAAAAAGTATCAAGTCACCAATTTATAATTTTTTAATTTTTACTTCTTCAACATCAAAAAAAAAATTTAAAAAAAAATTTTTTCCAAAATATTTTTTCGAACACTTTTTTTTCGAAAGGAATATTTTGGAATTTTCAATTTCAATTTCTTTCTATTAGCTAAAAGCAGATTACTTACTTACAGGTACGCACTGATGATGACTTAACAGTGGAAAGCGCTCTGCTACGAATATTGAATAAATTATTTTGCACGAAATACAAATCTTCCCTTCTTTGGAAAATGTGATTTGACTGAAACAAAAAAAAGTTTCAAACAAAATCATGTTCCTCTGTTATATGTGTGACTCTTTGTGCTTAGCCATGACCTCATCTCATTTATCCACGAGATGATGAATTTTTTCAAAAAAATTACATTTGTAATCATAATGTTACATGCTTTTGGGTGTATGATAAATTGACATTCATCATACAGGGCGTGGAAAGAAATTCTGAATTGAGACTCTATCACGAATCTGCGATTAGAGGACTATAAAAAAAAAATAAAAGTTTCCATCGTTCAAGTTTGAACCCCCTGATTGGGTATGAAAGTGTTGAAAAGGAATATTCTCAGATAAATTATGAACATACAAAAATGGATATATATTTATATAGAGTAATACATTGAGAATTCGAATTCTCTGTGATGAGAATATTTACTCTTTTTCAGTTGATTCAATAGAAAACAACTAGTAAACTACTACTAAAAAAAAAACTTCTAATATAATTCAATGTTCGACGTGGCAAATAGCCAGGAAAGTAGTTGTTTTCTGTTGAATATTCAGAATGATGTGTACATGTACATATTTTGTCTGAAGGAGAATGCAAATTCTCAATTTCAGAATTTTTTTTTTTTTCATATTTTATTTTCAAACTCTTATCGTGTGTGTTCAATAGATATAATTCAATGTTCGTCGTGGCATATAGCCAGGAAAGTAGTTGTTTTCTATTGAATCAACTGAAAAAGAGTAAATATTCTCATCACATAGAGAATGCGAATTCTCAATGTATTACTTTATATAAATATATATCCATTTTTGTATGTTCATAATTTATCTGAGAATATTCCTTTTTAACATAATGTTACACTTGTTGCGATCCGTTGAACATCAATATGTGAAATTATACAGAGTGATCATTTGAAAAAAAAAGTTTCTGGCATTTCCAGAGGAGCCGGAAGTCCGCCATATTGGATTGTAATGTATTCAAATGCGAAATGGTTGCTTATACAACTGTACCAAATTTCAAAAAATCCGTTTACGAATGCAGAAGTTACATGAGTCACTCGGTATTCTGAGATATTATTACAGTTGATTCCAGAAGAAAAGAAAATCTCTTTTTGGGCTATTATAATTTTTTATATCACGTATATATTTTACTTTAAATATATCTCGAGGTGTTCATCTTTATTACCTTGAATTTATATCTACTCGGTCACAGTCATACACTCACACTGACTACTGAACTTGTTCAACACACATGTTTCGGCATTCGACATCGAATAATTATTATTGATTCAACCTTCTTATTCATCACATATTGTATAATAGTAGTTATTCCTATCCTCCTATCAGTAGCGGAGTAGTGAAACCGAATTGGGCGAATGAATTGTCACACAAAGACAAATATTTGTTCAAATTAAAGTATTTGATTCACCTATTTTTAGTACTAGTTTATAACCAAGATTTAAATGGGTCGCTTTCTTGTGTGTCTGTTTATAGGCGTATCGTGAGGTTTTAGAAAATAGTATAGGTATAGATAGTTAGATTTTTATTGATCACGTTACATACATATAGTAGGTTTATGACAGGTCAAGTCAATACAAGAAATGAAAAAAGAAATGAAATAAAATCTAGTGATTCTTATACTTTCTTGAGGAGTGTATATACAGGGAGAAGCTGTCGTTGATGAAAATAAAACTAAACACTATTATAGACTTCGAGTATTCTTATTGCTATAAAAAATTTTCAAGTATTTTTTACTTAAAGTCCGATTGAGAATGGTGGTATTTATTTTTTGAAATATCAGATTATATCACTCCAAGCGGAAATAATGTCAAGAGTAAAACATACGGTATTATAGGTAATTTCGAACCATGAGGCTTTCATGAACACTTACTTAATCAAATCATCCGTTGACATTGAACTATGAATACTGCAAGTCTAATAAGATGATGTATACAGGGTGTTTAAAAAAAACCTAACCCCCTTGCTAGGGTAGGTAGAACATTGCAAAATAAGTTATAAGTTAAAAATTATTTTGTTACACATTTTTTACGATTATTCCGAAACTACTGGCAACATTGTAATGAAATTTTGTATGGATGTTTCTCGAAATCTGACACATCGAGGTTGACGACAAAATGGTGTGTTGACTGGGCTTGTCGAGTAGGTATACGTCTGAGTGATATTCCCCATTGTTTTCCTTGAATCTTTGGACTTATTTTTTGTTTTAGATGATTTTTCCATTCAAATATGATTTTTATTTCTTGTTGTTCAACTTTATTGCTCGTTATACTCCAGCAAATAAATCCAGGTGGTTTGATTTCAGTTTCCTTCAACTTCCAAAAAGTAAGGTTTTAAACTTTGAATTGCTTTTTTCTCGAAACTTACTTTTTGTGGCATTCCCCATTTTTCCCCTGTGGTCTTCAATTATTGCATAACCTATTTCTGGAAAAAAACGAAAAACTTTGGAGTCAAATAATTACTCAAAACCCCACCTACATCAGAAAAATTAATCAACTCCACCGTTTTTTACCAGTGCATTTTGATTATTCACGCTCTCACAGGGGTCCAGGGATACCCTTTACAATCAACCTGACCCATAACCGATGCTTTGCACAAAAAATGTATTCAATGTTTTTCATAATGTTTGGTTTGTAAGGATTGAGGCTGATGATGGACACATGACTGTCCGAAACATGTTCCCCCAAATAATCTTCTTATTGTTGAACGTTGTGGAGATGATTTTGAGTTTTCTATAACCCTTAAAAGAAATTAATTTAATTACGGGACCAAACGTCAACATTCAGACCCTCAAATCTCAGACTAATATATTATATGATGATGACAAAACATGACGAAACTAAGCGAACGCATAAATATAAATATCACCCTGTGAGTTTTACAGACGGCAATACCAGAAAAAGTATATATCAGTGGCCTGTCTCTGGAATGGTGAAAATCCCGGAAAACCTAATTGTGTGTCGTCTCTTGTTTCATTTTTCTCGTTGAGCGCTGATAACAAAAAGTCGTGGACAATTCCACAAGGAAATAACAAATGAAATTACCGACAGAGAAACAGTCCATGGCGAGAGTAGTTTCAGGGACGTATCGAACGAGAAGTCGAGGGACAAAAACAAAATGGAAAAAAATATTAGAAGGGTGCTCTATTTTTCATTGATCCTTGATAACGGTATAAGAGATAGGTACTATTTGAATTACAAAAAAAAAGTATAATAAGGAATGAGAAAAAACTGGAAAAAGATCAGGAAAGAAAGAAATTCGTTGAATCACTCGTAAATCGATGTCATCCGATGTTCTCTGGTTCTTTCAATTCAAATTTCTGTGCTTTCTGCTCCATGTTTATGGCTCTGTATCCTCTGTATTCAACATAATGGTGAATTTATACAGAGTGGGCCTTTGAAAACGAAACAGAGGCTCTGTAGGTCGCCAAAACCGGATTATGAAAAGAATCTGCAACACGTCATCTACATTTTCGAGGGGGACATCGTCCTACAATATTTTCAGCCCTGCGGCGTTGCCGCTGCTAACGAAAAGAAGCAACAACTTTGTTATTTCAAATGGAACACCTTGTATTTTATTGCATTTTTAGATTCTCCCCGAAAATCTGATTTCATCAATGCATCACACTTGGGGTCTAGCTGTAATGGTTTCAGGGATATAAAGTGTTCAAAATCGAGATTTTTCAACTTTAACATTTTTTTGTGTCGAAACTAATCATTATTGGTCAAAACGACTCCCATGTCCCTATCTCAACTTGTGATTCACTATCTACTAACATTTAATTGGAACAGATACAGGGTGATCAGAATTCTGAATCTTGAACCACCCTGTATTTGTTTCAAATAAATGTCAGTAGATAGTAAATCACAAGTTGAGATAGGGACATGAGAGCCGTTTTGATCAATAATGAATAGTTTCGACACAAAAAAATTTTAAAGTTGAAAAATCTCGATTTTGAACACTTTATATCCCTGAAACCATTACAGCTAGACCCCAAGTGTGATGCATTGATGAATTCAGCTCTTCGGAGAGAATCTAAGAATGCAATAAAATACAAGGTGTTCCATTTGAAATAACAAAGTTGTTGCTTCTTTTCTTTAGAAGCGGCAACGCCGCAGGGCTAAAAATATTTTAGAAAGATGTCCCCCTCGAAAATGTAGTTGACCTGTTTCAGTTTTTTTTGATAATCCGGTTTTGGCGACCTACAGAGCCTCTGTTTCGTTTTCAAAGGCCCACTCTGTATAGATGACTCAACTTAGTCCTAACCCCAATTCAAGAATAATAAGAGAAGGCATTCAGAATTGATAATTGAAATCCAACTATAATCAGGTATCACCATCGATTTCACCGCATTGTATAAATGTATGAAATATGAATGTATGCTACCTGATTTGTATCTGTATGTTTATATATATTTACTAAAATCAATAAATATGTCTTTTATTAAATTTGTTTTACTCTTGAAATTGGTAAAGATAGGAGGAAATCAAATTTTCAATTTGAAGGCATTTGATCTTGAATAATAATAAAAATTGCCTGCGGTGCTTTTTCCATCCATTATAATACTTAATACTTAATGTACTCTTTTTTCATTTTCAAAATCTGATCACCCTAATTCAGTTCCAAGTCGTCTTGTTTGGAGTAAGACGAGCGAAGCGAGGTGTGTCCCAAAAAAAAACTTGTGCCACTAGTGCGACAATATAATATGTCTTATAAAACGTGGAGTAATACTGATGTGTAATATACTATTTTTTCTATTTTGCATTCATCTGTACTCTTTTATAACAAAACTTCATCAATAAAAACATCAAATATTAGTAATATTTATATGAAGTTAGTAATCACACAAAACTTCGTGTCAATACTGACATTATCAACTTTGAAAGAAGAAATTCATGGTTTCGATAGGCATTTGGATGTCATATTGAACATTTTTGAACCACTCGTTCCATGCACGCTTGTCTAGAAACAGGTAGGTAGCTAGATGACGGATATCAAAACGAATCTCCTCCCACCATAATAACTGTAGAAATTCAGTTTCACGGTATTTCAAAGTTGAGTGGTTGATTGATAATAATCAATATTCCTATATTCTTTGATATTTCCAATTCCATACACGATAATAATCTATGCGATAATAATGGATTCAATTATTTAATATATGTGTCAGAACATGACCAATTTATATATATAGACTCCGTGGCGCAACGGTAGCGCGTCTGACTCCAGATCAGAAGGTTGCGTGTTCAAATCACGTCGGGGTCAATCCTTTTTTTCTTTTTTTTTTCTTCAGAATCACATTCTCCTCATGATTCCTGGAAGTACTTCAATTCATATTGATTTCTATCACATTAATTCTTTTTCTATAACGATTTTGATAAACTGCATTTACTAAATCTAATATTAATTAATCACAGCATATAAATACGATTCGATATTGTTGACGAGATTTCAATTTTTCTGGCATTACACGGCTAATTGAATCAATACAGTCATAGTACGATTTGAAAGAGAAATAAAATACTAAAAATGAAATTGGAAGGGGAAGATCACCTTGAATATTATATAATTCTGGTACAGGATTATTAATATATTCTGTCTATATTACAGTCAACTATTGTTCTATCCATTATCGAATCGAGTATAGGAAAATACCGTCTTTATGAGAGACACTCGTGTATTGAGACATTCAGCCTATTGAAGCAATGGAGACAAACAATAATAATTCTTCCTTTTTATCATGAATACAAACAAGCAGAATTTGTATGTCAGCGAATCGGATCGAATAAAGGCTCGATTTTTATTTTTACTTTTGAAACACCGGAAAAAGCCAAAGCCAACGCGGACTTCGACAATAAATCAAAGCCGTAGTTTTTAGATAAAAGCAAAATGAACGTCGCCCCGGTGAAATATCAACAAAACATAAACAAAAGGATTCTCTGTAGCATGTCGGCAAAAAGAAGTGCATCAAGTTACGACCGTAATGTTTCATAACAGGATGATAAATAAGAGCAGCATCTCGTTTTAAATAATCGACAGAGAAACCAAAATCAAAGAAAAAGCACACAATAGAATTTGGTTCAATTATAATAGGATTTAAAAGATCTTGGGATGTTTTACACCCCATTGTAGAGATGACTCGAGTTTTTCTACACCGCATCAGTTTCAGTAGATATATACTCACGCTTTGCCTGGACAAATTTAGCAGACAAAATCAGCTCCTATCAAATAGGAATCCGAAAATTGACTCTAAGGACAATAATTGATTGCCATTGGCCTATTGTTGTGTGTCGACAGGTGCAATATTATATCTTAATCAAGTAAGATGGCCTAATAACATTCTAGAACAT